AAGGAGATGGTCGAGATCCACGTCGGGTCAGAGGCCGCAAAGGCACGACTCGGTCCAATGCTGCGGCGGCAGTTGTCTCCCAGGCCGCCGCCTGATTTTCCGCCGAGTCGTGGACTAGATCCTCCGGATATGGCCCAAGCTCCATCAGGAACCTCTCAGGGTCCATCAGTCGCCTGGGACGGAACCATCTAGGTGGTTCATACACTTGGCAACTGACTCATACTTATGACGGCTGCAGTGTCCCGGGATTACATGATCCCCTTTTGCGACTCTCTGACCAGCATGTTACTAATTTAACAAGCGCTGTGATTCACTTAACCGTCGTGGCAAGAAAAGTCGTAAAAGGGAGCAGAACTCACTTAACCAATGTCCCACTTAACAACTGAAAATTTGGGTTCAGTTGCAGTCATAATTTGAGGACTACCTGTATTTTTTTGCAAGTTGCATTGAAATGCTAGCACGGTTTATTGCACATAGATGTTTTTCAGTAATGAAATCATTACTGTGGCTCAGAATGAAATATTAATGTTAACTTTGGCGAGCCGAAAGAGATACTGACTGTTCCAGACATTGGGCATTGTTGACAGTTTCCATAATGAACGCTAACTTGAAAAAAGACATGATGATGTACGAAGGATTATTGCATTGATTTAAAAGTAATGTAGGGCTTAAAAAAAAAATATCTCAGAGTGTCTTAGAATATGACCCTCTCTGCTCTGGAGGTTCTTACTACATTTGTTGTTAGTTGTGAAGTCATGTCCGACCCATCATGACCCCATGGACAACATTCCTCCAGGCCTTCCTGTCCTCTACCATCTTCTGGAGTCCATTGAAGCTCACGCCTACTGTTTCAGTGACTCCATCCATCCACCTCATTCTCTGTCATCCCCTTCTTCTCTTGCCCTCAGTCTTTCCCAGCATTAGGCTCTTCTCCAGGGAGTCCTTCCTTCTCATTAGGTGGCCAAAGTACTTGAGTTTCAACTTCAGGATCTGGCCTTCTAAGGAGCAGTCAGGGTTGATCTCCTCTAGGACTGACCGGTTTGACCGCCTTGCAGTCCAGGGGACTCGCAGGAGTCTTCTCCAGCACCATGGTTCAAAGGCCTCCATTCTTTCTTACGGTCCAACTTTCACAGCCATACATTGCAACTGGGAAAACCATGGCCTTGACTATACGCACTTTTGTTGATAGCATGTCAAACACTCATGTTTTCAAGTAGTTGCCAGGTACTGCGTGAACCATGGAAGTAAATAAAATACAGATATACCCAGTTGCTTAACGACAGTTCAAAATGACAATTGCCGGCAAAAAAATGCCCATTGGGAAGAATGTATCTGTTTTAACGACCACGTGGTTCGCGTAACCGCTGTGATTTGCGTAAACGCTGCTGTGAAAGCAGTTGTAAAATTGAGTCTGCAATTTTGGATGGAGACTGTTCAAGGGAGTGTATGGTCAATTCAGGTAGTCCTTGACTTAATGACGCCAAAGACGAATTACGACTGAAATTCTGGGCTCCTTTGGCGTCAAGGACTGACTTACACAGTCTCTATCAGAAATAGTGTGGACTTTTTTTTTGTCTAAAAGGATTCAGTATTTGTATGCACCTTTCTGAAAAATTACCTTTGTCTTCTGTTTTTATTCATGCTTAACATTGTTATGACTCTTGTAGATACCATTATTCGGAATAATGTCCTCGGACTCCGCCGATCCTTTCTACTGGATGAGGGTCATCCTTGCATCGAACAGAGGTTGGTGGGCTTCACTCCTGTTCTCATCTGCCACCGTCTCCTTTGCCTACCAAATATGGTAGGAAGCCAGCTTAGATATCTGGAGGTTGGGGAAACCCTCATTTGCCCTTAGGTGCTCCAGGGTATTGGTGCCTGCCTTAGATTTTAATTTATGGGAGGGCAAAATTTTTCAGCCAAGAGCCATACTTAAAAATTAATTACTAGCATTTGTAGCTTGTCCCATTGCTGAGGCTCTGAGCAGCCTCCATAAAACAGTAAACAATCAGGAAGTGTTAACGTGAAGCCTAAAAATAAGAATAGCACTTTACGATTCAGAAAACAACATTCAAACATTGCAAAGTAAACCATCACCTGTGCTGTAGGTCTCCATGTTGGTTGAGACCTTTTGGAATGGCCTGAAACACACACCTCACCAGGTTTCAAGTCATCTCAGAAGGTCTCAACAAATGCAGTGGGTTTTCTTTTTTACAATTTGCAACCAATCATTGATAAGGTAATCGCAGGCTGTCCCACTCATCTGTCTTCCCTTCTCTGCCTCGTTCCTGTTTACCTTGGCCAAGCCACTTCTAGGCATCAAATAAAATGACCTGCAGCTCACAAAAGGTGATGCTTGGTAATTAAAAATTGCGACTGTGAAAATGCACGCTGTAGTTACCCCAAAATTGTTGTAAACACGTGGAATATGATCTTTAAAGTCTGATAACCATGAATGCCTTTCTGAGCAAGGAGAACCGAAATCTAGAACAGTGTTCCTCAACCTTGGCAACGTTAAGAGGTGTGGACTTCAATTCCCAGAATTCCCCAGCCTGGAGAATTCTGGGAGTTGAAGTCCACACCTCTTAACCTCACCGAGGTTGAGAAACACCGGTGTAGAAACAGCATCACTGGAAAGCGAGATGATGAATTGGCCCTTTGGGATATTTCAGGACACAATTAAGAATTTTTCCATACAGAACACCGCTATTTAAAGTGTTGTGATTCCTCACCAGCTAGTGGATCCGGCAGCTGAGTCTGAGGAATCAGAGGAGGAGGAGGGGCCTGGAGTGACATTAGAGTCAGAGGAAGGCTCTGGGGAGCTCCAAGACTTACAGTCGGATGAGGAGCCTGGCTCCTCTACTTGCGCTCAGGCTGAGACACAGCTGTGCTGGGAGCCTGAGTTGGACAGCGATGAAGAACAGCTGGGACAAATCCCGGATGCACGAATGCGCAGGAAAGAGAAGCGAGTAGGACAGAGGAATGCAATGGGGCGGCTCCAAAGGCAAAGGAGAAGGCATTAGGAAGCTACGCCTTGGCTGAATTATAAAAGGGAAGGTGTGGGAGGTGCTGGTTGCCGAAGGCAGCCGTTCATGTTGAAGATCGAGTTTCTGTGGACTGTGTTTGTTTGCCTTGGACATTGACTCAGGTCTGTGAGAATAAGGGGGGTTGTTTTTTTCTTGCGGTTCCTGCCTGTTTCTTGGAAGAAGGGTTTCTTCTTGTGAGCATAACAGGGACTCACGTAGGCTGGGACAGAACATAAAGATCCGTTTTCTTCTTTGTCTTCCTTCCCTTCTTCTTCTCCAGGCACTTTAATGGAGTTGGGTATCTCCCCTATTGTGACTTCGGGCCTCATTATGCAACTGCTGGCTGGAGCCAAAATCATTGAAGTGGGCGATACGCCGAAAGACCGGGCCCTGTTCAACGGTGCTCAGAAGTGTGAGCATTAATTTCAGTTCCTTAATAGAACTTTCATTTTTTTCCTTGGGAAATGCAGCAGTTAACTACTTAATGCCTGTATGGTTTTAGTAAGGGGGGATGATTGGTGCTCTCTGAGCTGGGTGGTTTTCTTGCAGACGTCTCATGATCCAACTACGTAACATCTTCAGTGCTAGAAGGGTGAAGGGGTTGCTCTCTGTTTACATGCAATATAACACCACTCCTTTCTAGCACTGAAGATGTTACCTAGTTGGGTCATGAAAGGTCTGCGAGAAAACACCAAGCTGAGAGATCACTAAGAACCTTACCATCCACCACCTCCTCCTCCTCCTGCTCCACTCTGCAAACACCATTCTCTTCTAGCACTGATGATGCTTCCTAATTGGGTCTTGAAACATCTGCAAGAAAACCAGCAAGCTCAGAGAGGACCAAGGACATCCTTCTCCCCCTCCTCTTCCTCCACCTCCACCTCCATCACCACCTCCTCCACTCCACAAGTCCCCCTTCCTTCTAGAATTGATGATTTTACTTAGTTGGGTAATAAAATGTCTGCAAGAAAACCACCATGGATCCCACAATCCTCTCCCTTCTCCTCTGCAAACTCCATTCCCTTCTAGCACTCATGAATTTGCCTAGTTGGGTCATGAAATGTCTGCAAGAAACCCACCAAACTCAGCACCAAGGACCTCCTCCTCTACCACCACCACCATCACCTTCTCATCCCTTTCTCCTCCTTTACTGCACAAACCCCAGTCCCTTCTAGCACTGATGACATTACCTAGTTGGGTCATGAAACATCTGCAAGGACACCACCAAGCTCAAAGAGCACCAAGGATCCCCCAATTCTCCTCTTCCTCCTCCTCCTCCTCCGCCTCCTCTCCACAAACCCAACTCCCTTCTAGCACTGATGATGTTACTTAGTTGGGTCATGAAATGTCCGCAAGAAACCCACCAAGCTCAGCGAGCACCAAGGACTCCACACAGACCAACCTTGAGCTACAGATATTCTCTTCTATGTGTACATGATTGTTTGTTGTCTTGTTTCAGTGTTCGGAATGATAATTACTATTGGGCAAGCTATCGTATATGTCATGACGGGGATGTACGGGGATCCTTCCGAGATGGGGGCGGGAATCTGTCTTCTGATTATAATCCAGGTATGTTCTTAAATAACATAAATAGCGCTACATTTTTCTTTGCTGGCCCTTGTTTGTGTAGCTTCCAATGTGTACGCGGGCTAAGGAGGCCGGGAGGGTCTAATGCCATATATGGCAAATCAGACAATTTGAAAGCGACAGATACATATTGCAAGGCCTACCATGCTCTCATGTACGGAAGGCTTAACTATTTTTTTGAGGGCTTGTCGATCCTTCAGGGCAGGGGTCTTGGCCACTTTACGCCTTGTGGACTTCAACTCCCAGAATTCCTCAGGCAGCATGACTGAGTTGAAGTCCACAAGTTGTAAAGTGGCCAAAGTTGGGGACCCCTTGCTTTAAAACGGGTAGTCAACTTTGGCTCTTTTATGACTCGTGGACTTCAACTCCCAGAATTCCTGAGCCAGCCACGCTGAGGGGAAAGGGAGAGGTTTCCAAGCTGAGCCATGCTGGCTCAGGAATTCTGGGAGTTGAAGTCCACGAGTCATAAAAAAGCCAAAGTTGACTACCCCTGCTTTAAAAGGAGACATTCCTTCATCGCAGAAAGCTTCAATGAAACGAAGCCGTTGTGGGTTCTTCTGGTTTCTTGGCGATGAGATCAAGTAGTTTCATGCAGCGATGGACGCCTTCTGTCAGCGTGAGTGTCAGGGGCGAAGATAAGCAATAACAGCCTCCTGTAATTTCCCACGTTCCACTAAAACCAGGGGCCTTCAAACTTGGCCCTTTTATGACTTGTGGACTTCAACTCCCAGAATTCCTCAGCCAGGTACTCTGGCTGAGGAATTCTGGGAGTTGAAGTCCACAAGTCATAAAAGGGCCTAGTTTGAAGACCCCTGCGCTAAAATCTCCTCAGGAAGCATCTAGTTTTCCAGAAGAAATCTGAACAAGATGGTGCAGTGTCGAACGTTGGACAATTCTGCCCTTGCTGATCAGAACACCAAATTGTTTCCGCGTCTTATTTACAGTCGATTAGGCCAGAACTGAATACAGGTAGTCCTCGACTTAACAACCGCAGTTGATCCCAGAATTTCCGTTGCTAAGCGAAACGCTTGTTAAGTGTCCCATTTTACGACCTTTCTTGCTACCGTTTTTAAGTGAATCACTGCCGTTGTTAAGTTAGTAACAAGGTCGTTAAATAAATCTAGCTTCCTCATTGCCTTTGCTTGTCAGAAGGTCGCAAAAGGGGATCACGTGACCCCGGGACACTGCGACCGTCATAAATATGAGTCAGTTGCCAAGCGTCTTGAGTTTTGATCACGTGACCATGGGGATGCTGCAATGGTTGTAAGTGTGAAAAATGGTCATAAGTCACTTTTTTGGTGCTGTTGTAACTCTAAACCAGGGGTCTTCGAACTTGGCCTTTTTATGACTTGTGGACTTCAACTCCCAGAATTCCTCAGCCAGCGTGCCTGGCTGAGGCATTCTGGGAATTGAAGTCCACAAGTCATAAAAGGGCCAAGTTTGAAGACCCCTGCTCTAAACAGTCACTAAACAAACTGTTGTAAGTCAAGGACTACCTGTATATCCCAAACTCTGGATGGCACCATTCTTAAATTGTCTGTTCTTCTCTAAGCAGTCATGTTTCAAAGTAGGGAAAAAAAAGTTTCAACTTGGTTGAGTTCTCCTACCCAACCAATAGCAGCTACAGAAAATTCGTGTGTCGTGTGGTCTCCCTCCAATCTAACGTTTCTACTTTTCTGAATTTCTTGATAAAAGAAGCTTTGGGATGCTTGATCTTACCTTTTAATCCTTAAAATAATGAAGTACTCAAATCAAATGTGACCTTGTTGGTGAGACTGAAGGAAGTAAGGAAGGTTGACATTTAGGTAAACACTTTGCTTGCCCTATTAAAGGCACGTGAATTATTATTTTTTTCTTCAGTTGCTGCGCAAAATACTTTCTAGGCAAGTCAGTTTATCAGATCATCTTAAAATATGTGTTATGTTTCCTGAATTTGAGTTTGATTTAACACAGTTGCTCAGTTTTACCTCTTGCCTGAATCTTCTCTGAAAAAAATTGTAATTTTCAGTATAACGGAAGGACACTGTTGTTATTTTGAATTAATGAATTGGGTTTTCTCCCGCAGGCCATATCAAATTAATTTCATTAGTCACTTGTAAGGTATCAGCTGAAAGACCAGTGGCATAAAAATTGTTTCTAAGTAACCTAATCTTTGACTATATATTCACTAAACCTAGAAATACATCAGAATTTTGTTTATGGTGATGTGTTCCGGGAATGCTTAAGAGTAGCTTAAAATTATTCTCTGTGCTATAATTTACGATTTATTAGGTGCTACTGAAGAAATAGGATTAGATCTCCACCAAAAACAAAAGAGCTTAGAAAAGAGAAATAGTTAACAAGTTGTTTTGCCACACACACACACCCAAAAAAATTTTTTCCCAAGGAACTTCCAGAATTAAGAAAAGTTGGTTTTCGTAGTCACCTTTTCAGAGTTGATCCGACGATCAATATCTGGCCTGCTGGCTGATTTGCTCTGTTCTCAAAAGCCAAGCAGATCCCATTAGCGCTTAGATGGGAAATATAGGAAAGATGGGAAACTGTAAAATAAATAACCTTAGAAAAGCAACATAAGACCTGTCCCTATTACTAACCTGTGACTATTGCTACAAGCCAGGGGTCTTCAAACTCGGCCCTTTTGTGACTTGTGGACTTCAACTCCCAGAATTCCTCAGCCAGGCACGCTGGCTGAGGAATTCTGGGAGTTGAAGTCCACAAGTCATAAAGGGGCCAAGTTTGAAGACCCCTGCTATAAGCCAAGAGGCAAATTCCTTGTGTGTGTCCAATCTCACTTGGCCAAGTAAAGTATTCAAGTCAAGTCAAGAGTTGACTTTTCTCAGTTCTTAGCCCAGCTAAGGGCTATGGTTGGCTCAGGAATTCTGGGAGTTGAAGTCCTCAAGTCATAAAAGAGCCAAAGTTCCCCACCCCTGGGCTATGGCATCCACAGGATTTTGGTACCGGTAGCTACCCCCCAAAAAAGGTTAGCAAGGCAAGCAAAGCCCATAGCCGCTGCAGCACGGATGGCAAGTATGCTTTACTTCTGAGCAAAGTACGAGGGGGGTTTCGAGCACAGAGTTATGGACCTCTTGGAATTCCCCCCCACAGTTGTTTGTTGCTGGCTTGATAGTCCTGCTGCTTGATGAGCTTCTGCAAAAAGGCTATGGTTTGGGGTCCGGCATTTCCCTCTTCATTGCCACCAACATCTGTGAAACCATTGTTTGGAAGGCTTTTAGCCCTACTACCATTAACACTGGCAGAGGTATAGTACCTTTTCTCACAGCTGATGTCTTGATCGGTTGCATGCTTTGTCAGCCTCTTGGTGGAGAGCAGCCGTGACCTAGAATCAGGCATGAGAGGTAGCCCTAGATCGGGTTTTTCAAACTGTGTTCTAGAGGACCTTACAAACTGTTCTAGAGGACCCTACAAATTCTGTTCTAGGGGACTCAACAAACTGCATTTAGAGAACCCTATAAATTGTGTTCTAGAGGACCCTACAAATTCTGTTCTAGGGGACTCTACAAACTGCATTTGGAGAGCCCTATAAATTGTGTTCTAGAGCAGTGGTTCTCAACCTTTTTAATGCCGTGACCCCCAACCGGTCGTAAGTCGAGGACTAAACCGGTCGTAAGTTGAGGACTAAACCGGTCGTAAGTCGAGGACTAAACCGGTCGTAAGTCGAGGACTAAACCGGTCATAAGTCGAGGACTTTCCCTGCCCGGGAGCGCCGCACATGCGTGGTTCCACCCCCTGCGCCGGCCGAGGCGTAGCTGGCAAGCGGCAGAGACAGAGCAGGCCGACCACCAGCTGGCCCAGCTCAAGGGAGGTAAGGCACCCGCCGGAAAAGGGGGAAAAAAATGGCGGACAGCCTTGCTTGGCGACCCCCGTGAAATGGTCGATCGACCCCAAATGGGGTCCCGACCCATAGGTTGAGAACTGCTGTTCTAGAGGACCCTACAAAGTGTGTTGTATGGAACTCTACAAACCATTTAGAGGACCCTACAATCCATGTTCTAGAGGACCCTACAAATTGTTCTAGAGGGCTCTACAAATTGTGTTCTAGACGAGGACTCTACAAACCGCTTTTAGAGGACTACAAATTGTGTTCCAGAGGACTCTACAAATTGTGTTCTAGAGGACTCTATAAACTGCTTTCTAGAGGACCCTACAAACTGTTCCAGAGGATCCAGCACTTCCAGCAGAACTCAAGAGGGTTCCATGAGAAGCTAAGGTCAAAAAAAATCCCACCAGGTTCACTCGGACACAACTCATTTTCTACCACTAAAGTTTTGTCTCTTGAATCAGGAAGTGCCAGGAATTTTTGTTTTTCCTCAAACAAGGTCCACAGCCTGGAAAAGTTTGAAAAACCCTGATCTAGATCACTGTGTGTTGCAAAAAAAAAAGACAGGAATCTGGGGAACACGTTGGCCACCTTTACTTTGTACTTGGGCAGAAGGTGGCAAGGGTTTTTTTTGTCTACAAGGTGGATTTGGGTGTAGGAGCCTTCCCCGTTTCAGAAATTTCCCAAACTGGGGTATCCCAGGGTACCACCAGGTAACACACAATACTCAACATCTGTCAGACACTGCATGAACTACAAACTTAGGGGTGTCAGGAAAAAAACTTCTTACTGAAACACTAAAGGATGGTGTGAACCAAGAAATTTTGGAAACCTTCAATCATGTCACACTCTCTAGAATCCTGAAGAATCCAGATAGGAAATCTGGAAATGCCCCTTAAATCATCTGTCAGTCTTTTTGTCATGTTGCTGTTATCCCAGAAGGAAACACAGTGGACAGTGACTGCTTCAACAGCCATCACAATTGCACAAAAACCGTCTGTAGATGAATCGTCTCAGATGGTGGGTCCGAAGCATGTCCGTAATCTTTACAATAGGGGCAGCCCTCGACTTACGACCACAATTGAGCCCCAAATAATTTATTGCTAAGTGAGATTTGCCCCATTTTACAACCTTTCTTGCCACCATTGTTTAGTGAATCCCATAGGCCAGGGATAGGCAACCTTGGCTCTTTTATGACTGGTGGACTTCAACTCCCAGAATTCCTGAGCCAGCCACGCTGAGGGGAAAGGAAGAGGTCTCCAAGCTGAGCCATGCCGGCTCAGGAATTCTGGGAGTTGAAGTCCACCAGTCATAAAAGAGCCACGGTTGCCTACCCCTGCCCTATACCATTTCAGAAAAATGGTTGCCCAGTCTCTTTTTGAAAACCTCCAGCGATGGAGCTTTTTCAAGAAGCAACTGGAATTTCTTGTTTCTCTTTGAAGACATTTAGTTTCTCATCCAAGAAGCTGAAGAAGCGAAACGTCTTCAAAGAAAAACAAGAAAGTCCAGTTGCCTCTTGAAAAAGTACCTTCGGGACAACCATGACCTGAATGACTGAGAATCTCCACAGACGTTTCCTCCAGTGATGGAGCACCCACAACTTCTGGAGACAAGCAGTCCCACCAATTAATTGATCAGGGTTTAAAGAACAACAAGAGTTGGAACGGAACCTTGGGGGTCTTCTAGTCCAACCCCCTGTTCGAGCAGGAGACCTTATACCACTTCAGACAAATGGCTGTCCAGTCTCTTCTCAAAAACCTCCAGTGTTGGAGCACCCACAACTTCTGAAGGCAAGCCGTTCCACTGATTAACTGTTCTCAGTATCAGGAAATTTCTTTTTTAGTTCTAGGTTGCTTCTCTCTTTAATGATCTTCATCCCTTGCTTCTTGTCCTGCCTTCAGGTGCTTTGGAGACCAGGTTGACCTCTCTCTTCTCTGTGGCAACCTTTTAAATACAGGAATGCTGCTATCATGTCCCCCCTAGTCCTTCTTTTCTGTAGATTAGCCATACCCAATTTCTGCAACGGTTCATCATGTCTTTTAGCCTCCAATCCCCTAATAATTTTTTTTCTCTTCTCTGCACTCTTTGGAATCTTAAATCTTGGAAATGTCAAAGCACATACATTTATTCCCCCCTCACCTTTATTTTCCAGGGAACCAGGGAGGGTCCCTTCCACACCCCTGTTCTTTCCGAGAGCTGAGATGTCCTTTGTCTGCCTGTTGCCCTGTCTCTCAACTATATTCCCATATACAGTAGTGGCCAAAATTGTGGAAACCTTTTGGGAAAAACGTACAGTAGAAATGCCACCTTTGGTCAAGTTTCCACCATTTTTTCTTCTAATTTCTTTATAACTGCAGCCTTGTTCACTGAATAATACTATTTTACATCGCTTTCTGGGCGACCAGTCAACTCTTTGCACAGTTGCTTTAATTTTGTTACGTTTTGCAAGCTCACTAAATGAAAGAACACAAAAAAACCCCAACCAACTTGATAGCCATCACATAACACAGCGGTTCTCAACCTATGGGTCGCGACCCCATTTGGGGTCGATTGACCATTTCACGGGGGTCGCCAAGCAAGGCTGTCCGCCATTTTTTCCCCTTTTCCGGCGGGTGCCTTACCTCCCTTGAGCTGGGCCAGCTGGTGGTCGGCCTGCTCCGTCTCTGCCACTTGCCAGCTACGCCTCGGCCGGCGCAGGGGGCGGAACCACGCATGCACGGCGCTCCCGGGCAGGGAAAGTCCTCGACTTACGACCGGTTGGGTAGTCCTCGACTTACGACTGGTTTAGTCCTCGACTTACGACCGGATGGGGGTCGCGGCATTAAAAAGGTTGAGAACCACTGACATAACACACCGACAAATGTCCTCCTCTCAGCTTCAATACATGACATCAATCACTGGATCCTACTGTGATCTGATTGGCTCCTTGCCAAAACAAGATGACACCCGATTGGCTCTCTAAACACTCGTGCTCATTGGCTACAGTCAGATGAAGGAAAGCTACCTGAGATCAACCTAAGCAAGTTGTGCTTCCTTTTCCTGGCTATTGGGCTATAACATTTCATAGAATGCAGTACAGATAATTGAACAAACTATGTTGCATTACATTCTTGATTAAATTATCTTTCCACTAATATATAATTTTATGGTACTTCTACCCCCAAAAAGTGGTGTTATTAGCCATCAAACCTCAAAAATAGACTTTTCCCAAAAGGTTTCCACAATTTTGGCCACTACTGTAGACCCTTGTCCAAGTAAAACATCACTCCGCTGAAGGGAAGGATCACTTCCTGTTGAGTAGAGGGTTCCTCTTGATGATGCTGAGGAATTGGGGGAAGATTTGGGGCCTCCCCCAAGAAATATTCCCGAGACCCTGTCTTTTGACACGCTTTCTGTACCTCAGTGCTCGTTGTGATAATGTGTCCAGTGTCCTAGGAGAGTGTGCATGCATGTCCAGCGTCATGTGAGCATTTGGCTTGCACGAAACGTTGCTTGGTAAGTCTCGGAAAAAGAGTATTTGCGTAAGACCTTAGTGCAATTCATTTTAAGCCTACCAAGTCCGTATCTTTGAATAATTACAGCACCCCATTACAGGCAAGTCCTCGCCTTACAGCCACAATTGAGCCCACCCAACATTTCTGTTGCTAAGCGAGACAGCTGTTAAGTGAGCTTTGCCCCCGTTTTGCCACTTTTCTTGCCACCGTCGTTAAGCGAATCATTGCAGTTAAGTTAGCGGCCAGGTTGTTAAGTGAATCCGGCTTCCCCCATTAACTTTGCTGGTCGGACGGTCGCAAAAGGGGATCACGTGACCCCGGGACACTGCGACCGTCATAAACGTGAGTCAAGTTGCCAAGGGTCTGAATTTTGATCACGTGACCCTGGGGAGGCTGCAGCGGTCGTTAAGTGTGAAAAACGGTCCTAAGTCGCTTCTTTCCGTGCCGTTGTAACTTCGGAACTGCTGTAAGTCGAGGACTGCCTGTAATTCCTCCTCTTCTTTGAATTCTGCATGAGTTCCATTCGGCTGTTTTTGCGGTGCTCCTGCGCCAAAGTTGTCGCCCCTCCTATGCCAAAGTGACCTTGTTTGTGGTTTTCGGTCCATCCAGGTACGGAATTTGAAGGCGCCGTCATTGCCTTGTTCCACCTCTTGGCCACGCGAACCGACAAAGTCCGGGCTCTGCGGGAAGCCTTTTACCGCCAGAACTTGCCCAACCTGATGAACCTGATCGCAACCGTGTTTGTGTTTGCTGTAGTCATCTACTTTCAGGTAAGGGGCGTCTGTGCCGGGGGGGGGGGGGGCGTTGAAGAGACTGGTGTTTTACGACCGGAGGAAATGCACTGAAAAGTTTCTGTTGGCGTAAAATCAGAGAATGCCTTTTAGATTCTCTCTGATGTAGAAATGAGGGTCACCCTTAGGAAGAGTGATCCCAAATTCACACTCCTGGCTATACATTGCTTCCTTTCTAATTCTGATTTTCTAACTAGAAAATTCTTTCTAGTTTTAGCCGTGGGGGGCTTGGTGTTTTCTGAGCTTGATGCTAGCACTGATGATGTTACCTAGTTGGGTAGTGAAATGTCTGCAAGAAAAATGACCAAAATGGCACAGTGGGACCCCATGGTCGTCGTCGTCGTCCTCCTCCTCCTCCTCCTCCTCCTCCTCCTCCTCCTCCTCCTCTCTAGCACTGATGATTTTACTTAGTTTGGTCAGTGAAACCTCTGCAAGAAAAACCACCATAGCACCAGAGACCCTACAGTTCAACCCTGAGCTATAGATATTTCCTTCCATCACTATTTCATTTTGTCAGAACTAAGTTGCATCCTTTGCACAAAACGTGCTGGGTGTTTGTTTCAGTAACAGAATATTGTTATCAAGATGGGATAAGCAGAACCTTTGAGGTTGGTTGACTTAGTTGTCTTCTAGTTTATGGTAAAACTGGCAAGTGGGAGAAAAAGTCAGCTAGATCTCTCTACCTAGAGCACACAGATAGGACGAAGTCAAAAGAAGCTGGAAGGTCTGGAGAAATTGGTCAGCTGAAATTGCAAGTTGCCCGGATTGCTGAGAGGGAATGGGATCCACTTTGCCAGCCGGTGACCGCCTTTGCTCCTCTCCCCCGCAGGGATTCCGAGTGGATCTCCCAATCAAGTCTGCACGCTACCGGGGGCAGTACAGCAGCTACCCCATCAAGCTCTTTTATACGTCCAACATCCCCATCATCCTTCAGTCCGCCTTAGTGTCCAACCTCTATGTCATTTCCCAGATGCTGTCCGTGCGGTTCAGCGGCAACTTTTTAGTCAATTTGCTTGGGCAATGGGCGGTAAGTATCCAGCTCTTCCTCTACCGCAGTGGTGGCGAACCTATGGCACGTGTGCCAGAGGCGGCACTCAGAGCCCTCTCTGTGGGCATGCACACCATGCCCCGGAGATGGCAACCGTCCCTCTTCAACCAGCTGCCCGCTAACTCACCGAGGTCCCACGTGGCTGGATGCATCCCAGCACGACTGGTTTCCCTCCCACCTATCCCATCCCATCCCTCCTGGCCTTGCATTCTCTCCTTTTCCCATCACCTCCTCAGCTGTCGGCCGGCTGTCCAGCTGAGAGGCAGCTTCTCTGAACTGCTGGGGGCGGGCCGCGGAGCCCCAGAGTGCGCTGGTCGAGGGGCCGGCAGGCTGTGGCTGTTGACGGACACTGTCGGCCCCCATGCGCTCGCTGGTCTCTGTGCGGGGGCCGATGGTGTCAGGCAGCAGCTGCCCCGGCCCCTGCCTCGCCTTGCCCTGCGACAGTGGCATCCCCGCCCTGCCTCACCTTGCTTCGTCTCACCTCCTGCCCACCACCCCACCTGCCGGAGACCCCCTGGATATCCCCCAACCCTGTCCGGCCCCCACAGGTGTCCCTCCCCACGAGCAACATCGAGGTGACCATGCCCACCTTGGCCACACCCACCCAGTCTGCCATGACCGCCACGCCCACCCAGTGGGCCACGCCCACCCGGCAATAAATAAGTGGGTTTGGGGTTGCAGTTTGGGCACTCGGTCTCTAAAAGGTTCGCCATCACTGCTCTACCACACAGGTAGTCCTCGACCTACGACCATAGTTGAACCCAAGATTTATGTGGTTGAGGGAGACAGTTGTTAAGTGAGACTTTCCCCCATTTTACGACCTTTCTTTCCACGGTGGTTAAGTGGATCACTGCAGTTTTTAAGTTAGCAGCTCGGTTGTTAAGTGGCTTCCCCCATTGAGTTTGCTTGTCAGAAGGTCCCAAGAGGGGGGTCACATGATCCTGGGACACTGCGACCGTCATAAGTATGAGTCGGTTGCCAAGTATCTGAATTTTGATCATGTGACCACGGGGATGCTCCAACAGTCACAAGTGTGGAAAATGGTCATAAGTCACTTTTTCCAGGGCTGCCGTAGCTTTGAACAGTCTCTAAATGAACGGCCGAGGACTATCTGTAATAAAATATATACCAGACTGCTGTCGTACCTGGTTGGTTTGTTTTATTGGTTAAAGTTAGAAAGTTAAAGAGAGGCAAAGTTGCCAAATTTTAAAAACGAGCCACGCCGAGGATGGCAGGGTGAGGTGTGAACCCAGCCAGCGATTCCCTGCCACTCTGAACTGGAAGACAAATAAAAACACTAGTCCTCAATGTCTTAAATACAGTATGTTCTTAGCGGTAAAAAAAAATAATTATAAGCTTAAATATAAGATACTAGATATTAAGAGAAGGGAGGAAGTATCAAATGTTGAAATAAATGTTGATTATTAAATGTAAGATATTTGGAAATTATTAGAAAATAAGAATGTTATATTGTACTGGTAATTGGTTGATGTAAGATGGTGAGAATCCAAATAGATAAGACGTGTATCCTGAATATTAGATCACGTGATGAATTGTGATAAAGGGAATTGGGATTAATTAAAACTTGGGAATTATAAATACTAAACGTTAAAATTTAAATATTAATGGGAAACTAAAAATTGGGGGAAACTAACCAGGACATTGATTATCTAAAAAGATTGAATGTAAAAACAACTCGGATATGTATAAACAAAAATTACTGATAAATGTAAGAAAAGTTATTTTTATCTAATCGATATAGTAAGAATTGTATTAATTTAAATGCGAGACAGTGAATACCAAGGGGAAAAGAGAGGAAATATTTAATGTAATAGTTTGAGATCTGTACTAAAGATATTTGTATGTTATTGAATTATTAACCAACTCAGCCGCCACATTGCTTTTCAAATATTTAAATGTGAAAATAGAAAATCAATTAAAAAAATTTCAAAAAACAAACAAAACCAAAACGGTAATCCTCAACTTACAACAGTTCGTTTAGTGACCGTTCGAAGTTACAACAGCACTGAAAAAAGCAACTTAGGACTGGTTTTCACACGACCGTTGCAGCATCCCCACGGTCACGCGATCAGGATTTGGGCATTTAGCTACTGACTCACATTTATGACGATCACAGTATCCCGGGGTCGCATAATCCCCTTGTGGGACCTCCTGACAAACAAAGTCAACGGAGGAAATCGGATTCGCTTAACGACCGCATGATTCACTTAGCGATGGCAGTGATTCGAAACAACCAGGGCAAAAGGGGTGGTAGAATGGGGTGAACATCACTTAACGAGTGCCTCGCTTAGTGGCGTAAAAGTTTGGGCTCCGTTGCAGTCTTAAGTGGAAGACTACCTGTATTGCCTTCAAAGTAGCGGCGTTTTACTTTGGGGTCTGCAAAGAGGGGGGGATCTTCACGTTTTCATTCTCTCCTTTCTAGGACGTTAGCGGGGGTGGCCCAGCGCGCTCCTATCCGGTCGGGGGTCTCTGCTATTACCTCTCCCCGCCGGAATCCATGGGGGCCATCTTCGAGGATCCGGTCCACGTGATTGTGTACATTATATTTATGCTGGGCTCTTGTGCCTTTTTCTCGAAAACGTGGATTGAAGTATCCGGATCGTCTGCAAAAGACGTAGGTGGTTTCTTTTCATATCTTTTCTTTTCTTTCTTTCTTTCTTTCTTTCTTTCTTTCTTTCTTTCTTTCTTTCTTTCTTTCTTTCTTTCCTTCCTTCCTTCCTTCCTTCTTTCTTTCCTTCCTTCCTTCCTTCCTTCCTTCCTTTTTCTTTTTCTTTTTCTTTCTTTTCTCTCTCTCTTTCTTTCTCTCCCCCCCGCCTGCATCCCTTCTACGCTCTCCGGCACCTGGTCCCTGGATTCTCCCTTGTGGATGCCTAGCCTGGCATCCATTTGACACCCAGGTATTTTTGTAGGTCGCCAAGCAACTGAAAGAGCAGCAGATGGTAATGAGAGGCCACCGAGATACATCCATGGTTCATGAATTAAACCGGTAAGGAGATCCGAAATATGTCAACTTGAAGGGTCCTCGGTGCTCTCTAAGTTTGCTTGTTTTCTGGCAGACATTTCGTTACCCAAACTAGGTAACATCTAGCACTGATGATATTATCACCATCACCTCTTCCTCTTCCTCTTTTCCTGCAAGCCCCACTCCCTTCTAGCACTGATGATGTCACCTAGCTGGGTCATGAAATGTCTGCAATGTAAAACGTAAAAGTGTGAGATGGCTTAGATGGAAAAAATAAGAATTAAATCTGTCCATGTAAATGTAATTAATCGTTGAGAAAATCTTTTATTAGTAAGAATATCTAGAGTTTGATGGGAGAAATGAACCAAAATAAGGATTGTGACAGGATTTATGATAAGGCAGCCAAACTGACTGAAAAGAAAAGAAATACTATACGAATATGATTATTATTTTTTTAGGAATATTGGAAAAATTATATATTTAATTGTTACTCATCAAAACAATAAGGATTGTATTAACTCAATGTTTGCAAAAAAAAAAAAAGGATATTTGGGGGAAAGAGGAAATCAACCAAAATTAATATATGGAACACAGATTATAGAAATTAATTGTTAAGGATTGTTTCACAAATGTAACCCAGGCAACACACTGTTTACTAATTATTGAGTGGCTTATGTTTTGTTGAAAAATAAATAAAAAATATATCTAAAAAAAGAAACAGAAACGTCTGCAAGACAACTACCAAGCTCAGAGAGCATCCAGGACCCCATAGTCCTCCTCCTCCCTTCTAGCACTAGGCACAATGACACAAATGTGAGTAGATTTGAATTAAAGCAGGTTTTGTTCCATTTAGGTACATCCCGACGGCAGCTGCCTTCGGAGGATTGTGTATCGGGGCTTTGTCGGTCCTGGCTGATTTCCTTGGCGCCATCGGCTCCGGCACCGGCATTCTGCTTGCGGTCACCATTATTTACCAATACTTCGAGATCTTTGTCAAAGAACAGGCCGAGGTTGGAGGCGTGGGTGCTTTATTTTTCTAAACAGGCCGGTACCGCCTGGCTTGTGAGAAAAAAGGGGAGACCTCCTCTGACGTCATCTGAATCCAATAATGCCATTTTAAATTTGTTTTTCTTTTTGGTCTTTTTGAAACAAAGTGCTCTGTCACCCCCATTTGCTCACAATGGGCTTGCGCGCAGCTTCGGAACCGGCTGCCTTAAAAGAAATCAAAGTTTACATTGTCTTGGTTAAAAAAAGAAAATCCAAATATATATATATATATCTATCTCTCTCTCGTGTGGCCTATAACGTTGGAAAGCCCAGCTCTCCTTCTCCAACCCTCGCGTGAAGGAATGGCGGGTGCCCATTTTGTTAACATTTTTGCACACTCCGTGGTGGGATTCAAGATACCTACGCACATCTGACGCCCGTGGCAAGGAGTTGGGTGGCTCCAGATGGCAACACTTGAGCTCATTTCAAAAGCATATGTCCCTTTGTTCCTTAAAAATCTATATTTTACATGAATTTACTTTTATATATTCCAAGAAAAACACACACATACACATGCCCTCCCTTGCACCTTAAGGCCCTCTTTGAAGCAGGCATCTCAGCCCCCAGACTCAGAAGTTAAGACCAAGGCAGGAGATCATGTCAACCGTCACACATTTGTGAATTCGCTCCCACCGAAACGCGAGGGATGGGAGAACCTGGATGTGGGGGCTCCAGGTTTGTGCCAGCCCCTTGGAGACTGTCACGCTGTGAGCCTGGGGTGTCTTTCAGACATGGGGGGGGGGGGGGGAAGCAGGGAAGAAAGGCCCTGAGCTGCTTGAAAAAAGTAAATTAAAATAAAACAAAACAAAAAAACCCACAGCCAAGCAAAATTGTTGGTCTTCAAGGAGGAATGGCTTGGGCTGATAACAAACTGAGCCTTTGTCGAGCTTCTTTGCGGCAACGTAGCCCATGTAAAACATTATAGACATTAAAGTTATTTAATTAAAAGCTCATCCTTGCTTTTTTTTTTTTTTTTTACAAGATGGCTTCCCTTGTCGCTCCCTGAGGTAAAAGGTGGCGCGTGTAGATAGTCCTTGACTTGCTACGGTTTGTTTACATCATCGGCACTGAAAAAAAAGAGACTTGACGACTGTTTTTCACACGCTGTTGTAACATTCCCCACAGTCGCATGATCAAAATGTGGGCACTTGGCAATCGGTTCGTATTTATGACGGTCGCGGCCTCCCGGGGTCACCTGATCCCCTTTGGCAGCCGCCTGTTGAGCACAGTCAACGGGGAGGCCAGATCCACTTAACAACCGGGTTACTAACTGATCAACTGCAGTGATTCACTCAGCAACCGTGGCAAGGCAGGTCGTAAAACAGGGCGGAAGTTAGCGACAGAAATTTTGAGCTCAATTGTGGTCATATGTCAAGGACTGCCCGTACCAGGCCCCTTCTTCCAGTTTTCCCCCACTGAGCAGTCCTGTGAGGTAGGCTGGGCTGGGAAAGGGTCTGGCTCAAAGTCCTCCTGAGAACTTCCATGGCTGAAGAAGACCTCGGGGTCTCCTCAGCCTTGGAACCCCCCCCATTGCCCACCACCCCAGGGTTTCTCAAACCTGGCAACTTTTTAAGACTTGTGGACTTCAACTCCCGGAATTCCTTGCTAGAGGCAGGGAGATTACGGGCAGCCTCTGATGACCTGCAGCTCTCCAGAGCTCTGGAAGTTCTGCCTCTTGGGTAGATCAACCATTTATGGGTACCAAGAAAGATGGGACCGGTTCCGTGCATTGTCCATTAAGGAGAAGAGAAGCTTGATGAAGTTCAAGAGCTTCACTTTTGATTTAAAAAAAAAAAACAGTTGGCCAAGCCCATGGGTAGGCAACCTTGGCTCTTTTATGACTCGTGGACTTCAACTCCCAGAATTCCTGAGCCAGCATGGCTCAGCTTGAAAACCTCTCCCTTTCCCCTCAGCATGGCTGGCTCAGGAATTCTGGGAGTTGAAGTCCACGAGTCATAAAAGAGCCAAGATTGCCTACCCCCTGGCCTATCTGCATTAAAAAAAAATTAAATTGGGTCACTAAATCCCTCTAGCATTTTAATTTTATAAAAAGGGAGGCTAGGAAGTATACAGTATATGTGTGTATGTGTGTGTTTGTGTAGGCTTGTATGTATTTGTCTATATACACAAACACACATGCACAAACAAAAATTGTCTTTCCTGCATTGCAATTCCCTAGAACAAGGGTAGGCAACCTTGGCTCTTTTATGACTCGTGGACTTCAACTCCCAGAATTCCTGAGCCAGCATGGCTCAGCATGGAAACCTCTTCGTATCTCCTCAGCATGGCTGGCTCAGGAATTCTGGGAGTTGAAGTCCACGAGTCATAAAAGAGCCAAGGTTGCCTACCCCTGGGCTAGGCCCAGGGCAAAACAAGACCCAATCCACAGTCTGTCTTGCCAGCTACTCAACCCACCAACCTCGCAGTTCTAAAACTTAATAGACTGGAAAAGAGAGTAAGAAGACCTTTATTTTTCCACCAATTATTCCAATGAACTTGAATTAAGTAAAAAAATTATGCAGGAAACCGCTCGGTTATATTATTCAGAGCAAAATTTCTTGAAGGTCTCTAGAACGTGAGTTCTAGAACTTCATGAAGGGCACCTGGAAGGGCTGGTCTGTCGCGTGCCGCAGGGCGAGTGCGTAAGCGTACAGCTTGGCATCCACGATCAGGTGTTCCTCGGCCACCAGTTCTGCAGAAAACACACACAAACACACACACACACGCACTTTAAAGAGGACATCCAGGGGCGGTCTTCCATTCAAAGGGCTGTGGATGATGGTTTTCATTAACACAGGTGGTCCTCAGCTTAACAGCAGTTTGTTTAGTGATCAAAGTCATGGGCACTGAATAAAATGTAACTTGAGACCGTTTTTCACCCTTAGCGACCGTTGCAGCATCTCCACAGTCACTTAATCCAAATTCAGATGTTTGGCAACTCATATTTACGACGGTCGCAGCATCCCGGGCTCACGTGATCCCCTTTGGCGACCTTATAAGCGAAGCCAAATTCACTTAACAACTGGGTGACTAATTTAACCACTGCAGTGATTCCCTTAACAAATCTGGCAAGGCAGGTCGTAAAATGGGGCAAGCCTCACTTAACAAATGTTTCACTTAGCGACAGAAAGGTCGGGCTGGGAAGTCAAGGACTACCTGTGGAGGCGTATGGGCTTATATGCCTTGTGATAATGGTTCATTATACGTGCAATTGATTGTCTCCGAACGCCAGACTTCGAGTGGGCTTTCCAGATCCCCTTTCTAAAAATGCATCTGGATTTTTCACACATGTCCCAGATGTGAGAGAAGGGATCTCACTGAGATTATAGCTCCTTATAATAATAATAAAGTTGGAAGGGACCTTGGAGGTCATCTAGTCCAACCCCCTGCTCAGGCAGAAAACCCTATACCAGTGGTGGCGAACCTATGGCACACGTGCCAGAGGCGGCACTCGGAGCCCTCTCTGTGGGCACGCCTGCCGTCCCCCCAGCCCCACCTCCACCCGTAGCCCCCTCCTCACCAGCAGTCCCCCAGAGGAGAGTCGCCTCCGGGCGCTGTCCACGCGGAGCAGCGCAGCCAAGGACATGGCAGCCGGGCAGCGGGGACAAGACTCCGCCCTCGTTCCCCGTTGCATGCAGATGATGCGGGGCGTGGGCGGAAGGTGTGACTGCCACGGCGCTGCGGCGGGCCGTGGAGGCAGTGGGTGGCCCTGCGGGCAGGCGGGAGCACAGACGGGCAGGGGTAGGGATGGGGAGGGGAGGGGCAGGGCAGGCAGAGCAGGGGGGCGGTTTTTGGGCACTCGGTCTCTAAAAGGTTCGCCATCACTGCCCTATACCATTTCAGACCAATGGCTGTCCAGTCTCTTCTTAAAAACTTCCAGTGTTGGAGCATTCACCGCTTCTGGAGGCAGGCTGTTCCACTGGTCCTTCAGTCAAATGATGGGAAAACTTCATTACATCAGATAGACCAGGGGCCCCCAACCTTGGCAACTTTAAGACTTGTGGACTTCAACTCCCAGAATTCAAATTTGAATTCAAATTCAAAATGCAAAGCTGGCTGAGGAATTCTGGGAGTTGAAGTCCTACAAGTCTTAAAAGTTGCCAAGGTTGGAGACCCCTGAGATAGACCGTGCAAATATTTTGTATTACCATGCAAGGTTTGGGAAGAGAAGGATGTGCTTGTAAAAAACAACAACAGGTAGTCCTCAACTTAACGACTGCAACTGAGCCCGAAGTGTCCATTGTTAGGTGAGTTTTGCCCCATTTCATGACCTTTCTCGCCAAAGTTATTAAGTGAATCCCTGCCATTGTTAAGTTAGACACAAGGTTGTTAAGTGAATCTGGCTTCCCCATTGACTTTGCTGGTCAGAAGGTCACAAAAGCGGATCACATGAGCCCGGGACGCTGCGACCGTCATAAATATTTCCCAGTTGCCAAGAGTCCTAATTTTGATCACATGATCATGGGGACGCTGCAACGGTCGTTAAGTGTGAAAAACGGTCACGAGTCTCCTTTTTCAGCGTCGTTATGAGTTTGAACGGTCACTAAATGAATTTGTTCTAAATCGAACAATTCCTGTTTTTCCTAAACTGCGGCCTCGACAGGTTTGCAGTCGTTGAGATCCATTTCCAGGTTTACATTTCAGATTATTTTGAGCAGGTTTGGCTCCAGCCGGACCTGGCAGAGATGTTTCATTGCCTGAATATGTGTTTTGAAATTTCCTATTCTGTCCTGTTCTGCAAGACAATGGGAGGTGGTGAACTCCATTTCAGCAATCACGAGCTTGCAGGGTGTGTGATGCACATGGGTGTTACACATGGAGTTGCAAAGTGCAATCCTTTGCACACCTCCTGCAAAATCCCACTGAATTCAACGAAGGCTGTTGCAAGCTAAATAGAATATTCAACTTCTCACCCTGACAATACCCTTTTTTAAAGGTGGAAAATATTCTCCTACAGGTCTTCTAAGGATTACCACCATGGTGGGGTTTGTATACCCATCCAGGCACTCAGAGAGCAAATGTTCCACAAGTTCCTCCATTTTCCTCCATATATTAATTCAGAAGGACT